GTAACTACCAGTAACTACTAGTAACTACTAGTAACTACCATCAACTACTAGTAACTACCAGTAACTACTAGTAAAAACCAGCAACTACTAGTAACTACCAGCAACTACTAGTAACTACCGACAACTACTAGTAACTACTAGTAAATACTAACAACTACCATTAACTACTAGTAACTACTAGTATCTACCAGTAAATACTAGTAACTACTAGTAATTACCAAAAACTATCATCAACTACTAGTAACTACCAGTAACTACCAGTAACTACTAGTAACTACTAGTAACTACCATCAACTACTAGTAACTACCAGTAACTACTAGTAAAAACCAGCAACTACTAGTAACTACCAGTAACTACTAGTAACTACCGACAACTACTAGTAACTACCAGTAACTACGTATTACTACCAATAACTACTAGTAAATATCAAGAACTACTATTAACAACTAGTAACTACTAATAACTACCGACAACTACTAGTAACTACCAGTAACTACTAGTAACTACTAGTAACTACCGATAACTACTAGGAACTACTACTAACTACCAACAACTACCAGTAACTATCAGCAACTACTAGTAACTACCAGTAACTACTAGTAAATACCAAAAACTACCATCAATTACTAGTAACTACTAGTAACTACCGACAACTACTAGCAACTACCAGTAACTACTAGTAAATACCAGCAACTACTAGTAACTACCGACAACTACTAGTAACTACCAGTAACTACTAGTAAATACCAGCAACTTACTAATAACTACCAGTAACTACTAGTAACGACCGACAATTACTAGTAACTACCAGTAAATACTAGTAACTACTAATAACTACCACTAACTACTAGTAAATACCAAAAACTACCATCAACTACTAGTAACTACCAGTAACTACTAGTAACTACTAGTAACTACTAGTAACTACCAGTAACTACCAGTAACTGCTGCTAACTGCTGGTGACTGCCGGTGACTGCTGGTGACTGCTAATGACTGCCGGTAACTGCAGGTAACTGCTGCTAACTGCTGGTGACTGCCGGTGGCTGCTGCTAACTGCTGGTGACTGCCAGAAGCTGCTGGTGACTGCTGGTGACTGCCGGTGACTGCTGGTGACTGCTGGTGACTGCTAGTAACTACCGGTGACTGCTGGTAACTACTAGTAACTGCCGGTAACTACTAGTAACTGCCGGTAACTACTGCTAACCACTGGTAACTACTGGTAACTGCTGGTAACTACCGGTAACTACTGGTAACTACTGGTAACTACTAGTAACTACCAGTAACTACCAGTAACTACTAGTAACTACCAGTAACTACCAGTAACTACTAGTAACTACTAGTAACTACCAGTAACTACTACTAACTACTAGTAACTACCAGTAACTACTAGTAACTACTAGTAACTACCAGTAACTACTAGTAAATACCAGCAACTACTAATAACCAGTCCGGAATATCCCTAAATTTAAGGACAGGGCCAACTGGTCACGCGCCACTTTTTAACCAATGAGATGGCGCGCTTGTGTTTATCAACAAACAAATCAAAACATCGCCCCAGTCATCAAAAAGTTTCAAAACAACGGACGGAGTCGGACAGAATTAAAGATGAGCTTACAGTACTCGTCTAGGTTTCACATTTAATATTTCAAAGAAAGCATGTCATGTAAGAGAATAAGAGCATTAAACATTACAAGGAATCATTGGGGGTGTTCGAACTGATTCGGGACCGATCGCAGAGGTCGTGGCTTCACTGGCATCGCTTGCAAGATTTTTGATAGAAGCAAACTCGTCCCGTGTAAAAATAGCCTTTGAGAGAGTGTGAAATTTGTTGAGATCGGACAAAACAGCATTGGTACTACCTATTAACTTCTACAGGACAAGAATCAAAGAACCAGTCATCATAACAAGAATAGAAAGTAGTTCAAATTTATTAATTTTTCTTGTTTGTTTTTTTGTGTTGTTTCGTGTTGACTTCAGGCATCTGGTGCTTTCTTTGCTTGCTGTAGTACCTGCTATGTTTTAATTTTATCCCAGATAATCAGTGCATGTTCAATGAGTAGCGAAATACAGCATTTACAATTGAGATTTGCCTTGTTTCTTTGATTGTTTTTTTAACGGCGGATGAACATTTGGAGAATCCAACAACATTAAGTCTTTCCACATTAGTGAATTTCAGAAACAAAGCGGTTAGTATCTACCTCGCGCTTATGATGTTCAATTTCATCCCCGCAAATTCGGCAAAGTGAGGCGAGATGTTGGACGTGAATATCCATAAGACTAATAAAGTTGTTTTGGCCTTGAAAAGAAAAAAGGCAAAGGCTCGTACTAATGCGAAAAAAAGTAATAACACAGCTTTTGTGAGAAACCCGGGAGTGGAAAAAGTCTGTGTTTTGGACCTCGGAATTCAAAAATTGTCTTCCAAAATTCTAGGTTGTCTACCACCCCCACATTCAACATGATAAAACTTAATCGATATGACAATCGAGGAAAAATATCTAGAACTTCGTAAAAAATCTGTGAATCGAAAAAATAATAGATACTTGTTCACCTACCTTGAAAGCCGACCAAAATCTCTCCTATACATCGCGTTGTTTTTAAAGATAAAAAGAAGAATAAGCCACAAAATGTGCTGAATATTTCACGAGACACTTCAATATGGCTTCCGATACGCTGTCCACTTAAAAAAATTTTGTATGCCTCATGAAAAGTCTTAAAAATATGCCTGAGAACCTCGAAACGATGACTGATTCTGTCCGACTCCGTCCGTTGTTTTGAAAATTTTTTGGTCACTGGGGCAATGTTTTGATTTGTTTGTTGATAAACACAAGCGCGCCTTCTCATTGGTTGAAAAGTGTCGCGTGACCAGTTGGCCCTGTCCTTAAATTTAGGGATATTCCGGACTGATAACTACCAGTAACTACTACTAACGACCGACAATTACTAGTAACTACCAGTAACTACTAATAACTACCACTAACTACTAGTAAATACCAGTAACTACTAGTAACTACGAGTAACTACTAGTAACTACTAGTAACTACTAATAACTACCACTAACTACTAGTAAATGCCAAAAACTGCCATCGGCTACTGGTAACTGCCGGTGACTGCTGGTGACTGCTGGTGACTGCCGGTGACTGCTGGTGACTGCTGGTGACTGCTGGTGCCGGACTGCCGGTGACTGCTGCTGACTGCTGGTGACTGCCGGTGGCTGCTGGTGACTGCTGGTGACTGCTACGGTGACTGCTGGTGACTGCTGGTGACTGCCGGTGACTGCTGGTGACTGCCTGGTGACTGCCGGTGACTGCTGGTGACTGCTGGTAACTGCTGGTGACTGCTGGTGACTGCTGGTGACTGCTGGTGACTGCTGACTGCTGTGACTGCCTGGTGACTGCTGGTGACTGCTGGTGACTGCTGGTGACTGCTGGTGACCGGTGACTGCTGGTGACTGCTGCTGGTGACTGCCGGTGACTGCTGCTGACTGCTGAAATTGACTGGTGACTGCCGGTGACTGCTGGTGACTGCTGGTGACTGCTGGTGACTGCCGGTGACTGCTGCTGACTGCTGGTGACTGCTGGTGACTGCTGGTGACTGCTGGTGACTGCTGGTGACTGCTGGTGACTGCCGGTGACTGCTGGTGACTGCTGACTGCTGACTGCCGGTGACTGCCGGTGACTGCTGGTGACTGCTGGTGACTGCCTGGTGACTGCTGGTGACTGCTGGTGACTGCCGGTGACTGCTGGTGACTGCCGGTGACTGCTGGTGACTGCTGGTGACTGCTGGTGACTGCTGGTGACTGCTGGTGACTGCCGGTGACTGCTGGTGACTGCCGGTGACTGCCGGTGACTGCCTGGTGACTGCTGGTGACTGCTGGTGACTGCTGGTGACTGCTGGTGACTGCCGGTGACTGCCGGTGACTGCTGGTGACTGCCGGTGAGCTGCTGGTGACTGCTGGTGACTGCTGGTGACTGCCGGTGACTGCTGCTGACTGCTGAGGTGACTGCCGGTGACTGCTGGTGACTGCTGGTGACTGCCGGTGCTGAGTGACTGCTGGTGACTGCCGGTGACTGCTGGTGACTGCTGGTGACTGCTGGTGACTGCTGGTGACTGCCTGTGACTGCTGGTGACTGCTGGTGACTGCCGGTGACTGCTGGTGACTGGTGACTGCCGGTGACTGCTGGTGACTGCTGGTGACTGCCGGTGACTGCCGGTGACTGCTGGTGACTGCTGGTGACTGCCTGGCTGCTGGTGACTGCTGGTGACTGCCGGTGACTGCTGGTGACTGCTGGTGACTGCCGGTGACTGCTGGTGACTGCTGGTGACTGCCGGTGACTGCTGGTGACTGCTGGTGACTGCCGGTGACTGCTGGTGACTGCTGCCGGTGACTGCCGGTGACTGCTGGTGACTGCTGGTGACTGCTGGTGACTGCTGGTGACTGCTGGTGACTGCTGGTGACTGCCGGTGACTGCCGGTGACTGCTGGTGACTGCCGGTGACTGCTGGTGACTGCTGGTGACTGCTGGTGACTGCTGGTGACTGCTGGTGACTGCCTGGTGACTGCTGGTGACTGCTGGTGACTGCTGGTGACTGCTGGTGACTGCTGGTGCTGCCGGTGACTGACTGCTGGTGACTGCCGGTGACTGCCGGTGACTGCTGGTGACTGCTGGTGACTGCTGGTGACTGCTGGTGACTGCTGGTGACTGCTGGTGACTGCTGTGACTGCCGGTGACTGCCGGTGACTGCTGGTGACTGCTGGTGACTGCCGGTGACTGCCGGTGACTGCTGGTGACTGCTGGTGACTGCCGGTGGTGACTGCCGGTGACTGCTGGTGACTGCCGGTGACTGCTGGTGACTGCTGGTGACTGCTGGTGACTGCTGGTGACTGCCGGTGACTGCTGGTGACTGCCGGTGACTGCCTGGTGACTGCTGGTGACTGCCGGTGACTGCTGGTGACTGACTGCTGGCTGCTGGTGACTGCTGGTGACTGCTGGTGACTGCTGACTGCTGTGACTGCTGGTGACTGCTGGTGACTGCTGGTGACTGCTGGTGACTGCTGGTGACTGCTGGTGACTGCTGGTGACTGCTGGTGACTGCTGGTGACTGCTGGTGACTGCCGGTGACTGCCGGTGACTGCTGCTGACTGCTGGTGACTGCCGGTGACTGCTGCTGGTGACTGCTGGTGACTGCTGGTGACTGCCGGTGACTGCCGGTGACTGCCGGTGACTGCTGACGCTGGTGACTGCCGCTGGTGACTGCTGGTGACTGCTGGTGACTGCCGGTGACTGCTGGTGACTGCCGGTGACTGCCGGTGACTGCTGGTGACTGCTGGTGACTGCCGGTGACTGCCGGTGACTGCCTGGCTGACTGCTGGTGACTGCCGGTGACTGCTGGTGACTGCTGGTGACTGCTAGTGACTGCTGGTGACTGCTGGTGGTGACTGCCTGACTGCCGGTGACTGCCGGTGACTGCTGGTGACTGCTGGTGACTGCCGGTGACTGCTGCTGGTGACTGCTGGTGACTGCCGGTGACTGCTGGTGACTGCCGGTGACTGCTGGTGACTGACTGCCGGTGACTGCCGGTGACTGCTGGTGACTGCTGGTGACTGCTGGTGACTGCTGGTGACTGCCGGTGACTGCTGCTGGTGACTGCTGGTGACTGCTGGCTGCTGGTGACTGGTGACTGCTGGTGACTGGTGACTGCCGGTGACTGCTGGTGACTGCTGGTGACTGCCGGTGACTGCTGGTGACTGACTGCTGGTGACTGCTGGTGACTGCTGGTGACTGCTGGTGACTGCTGGTGACTGCCGGTGACTGCTGGTGACTGCTGGTGACTGCTGGTGACTGCTGGTGACTGCTGGTGACTGCTGGTGACTGCTGGTGACTGCTGGTGACTGCTGGTGACTGCTGGTGACTGCCGGTGACTGCTGGTGACTGCTGGTGACTGCCGGTGACTGCTGGTGACTGCTGGTGACTGCCGGTGACTGCTGGTGACTGCCGGTGACTGCCGGTGACTGCTGGTGACTGCTGGTGACTGCTGGTGACTGCTGGTAACTGCTGGTAACTGCTGGTAACTGCTGGTAACTGCTGGTAACTGCTGGTAACTGCTGGTAACTGTTGGTAACTGCTGGTAACTGCTGGTAACTGCTGGTAACTGCCTGGTGACTACTAGTAACTACTAGTAACTACTAGTAACTACCAGTAACTACCAGTAACTACCAGTAACTACCAGTAACTACTACTAACTACTAGTAACTACCAGTAACTACTAGTAACTACTAGTAACTACTAGTAACTACCAGTAACTACTAGTAACTACTAGTAACTACCACTAGCTATTAGGGAGAAGACACAATACTACATAGAATCGCATAATTGCGTAAAATCTCGCATTCTGATTGGTTAACGAAGCGAGGTATTTAGCGTGGAATTGCTAGTTGAAAACGAGGCTAAGCGATATTGTTTCGCAGCTACGTAACAACTATCGTCAAATTCTAACACAACAACTGCAAAAAAGGTTTTCTACAATGTCATTTTAAAATGTTTTCAAAACCATTGTCACCTTTTGGAGAGTTAAGAACAAACAAAAGCGTTTTTTATAGTGAGCCGGAGGATCTTCCTTGTTTTGAAGTGAACTACAAATTCTCCAAGAGACATAAAAAACCTTTTTCGGTCGCGACAACGAGAAAACAAGAAAATCTTGTGAACACGGCCAGAAAATGGCAAGCCAAAGTTCAACCAAACAAAACGGAGAAGCGATAATGGAGGACGAGCCGGGATCGATTGTCACATATACAGGAGAAGAAATAAATACCTTCAAAGACGACATGGCCCCTCAGTGAAAACACGAAAAAGAGTACGCCGCTTGCAATCGTCCTGAATCGTGATACTTAGACTAGTACAAAACAGAGCTGAACTTGAACAGCATTTCTAAAACATTTCAAGGTACTTACCATATATCAATCGCGACGTTAAACTTTCAGTGCTTTCGCTTGGACACTTCATTTCTTTCAGTTTTGCCGCCAAAGAGGTAAAAGGTGTAAATTATTTTCCTTCTCGAGCAAATGACCAATTTGAAAAAAGATGTTATAGATAAACGGCTTGTAAATTCAGTGAAATACCTCTCTTTATCCTTACGATTAGTGTGAAGCTTGTTTACATGTAAAAAAGTTTGAAAACAAATGTAAAAACAAGCACAAGGTACAAAAAAAAGTTGTCGAAGGGTCAAACGTGTACGACTGACCTTGCTTCCTATTCGCTAAAGCAATGACAGTTCTGACAGTTGACTTTGAAATGGCTTTCTGGAGCGCGCCCTCAGGATAAAAACAAACAATATTATTGCCGTTTTCTTTTTTTTTTCTGATTTTTATTCAGTTATGCGATTCAAGGAAAATCCATTACCTGACTCGTGAATTCCACGTTAAATTGCACTTGAAAACCGATATCGCACTCATCGCTTCGCGATTCGTGCGATATCGGTTTTCGCGTGCAATTTAACGTGGA